CTCTGTGTGTGTGTGTGTGTCTGTCTCTCTGTCTGTGTCTGTGTGTGTGTGTGTGTGTGTGTGTGTGTTTGTTTTTTTGCATGTATACCTGGTGCCCACAGAGCAGAAAAGGGTGTGGGATCCCTTGGAACTGGACTTACAGACCATGAGGGTTCTGGGACCTAAACTTGGGTCTTTGAAAGAACAGCAAGTGTTTTTAACTACTGAATGACTCCTCCAGTCCTCTTGATGTTTTAGTGGCCCAAAAGCTTCCAGGTGATTTTCCTGTCTGTGATTACTATCTCACTATAGCAGTCCTGGGATTACCACCTCATCTGGCTTCTAAAAAATATAAAGTCAGGAGAGGTGGTACACACCATTATTCCTAGCACTGGGGAAGCAGAAGCTGGCACATCTCTGAGTTTGAGGCCAACCTGATCAAGATAACAAGTCCCAGACAAGCCAGGGCTGCATAGTGAGACACTGTCTCTAAATAGATAATTATTATCTTTTTGTCCAATATTTTGTCACAGAGATAAAAACAAACAAACTGAATAATACAATGTGTACTGCTGCTATGAACAAGCTATATAAAAATCATGATTTACTCCTGCTTTCAACTCTTTCACATTTATATCTAGAAGTATAATGGCTTCAGATTGCCAAAGGCTATGGAGTATATAGCAAGTGACAATTAGTATTCAATAGGTGGATCTACCAGATGAATAACTCTCTGACAGGGAGCCCCACTTGACAAAAACCTTTGGGTCACTGACTATAAATGACTGGTTGTTTCTGTCTGTAATTTTTCTCATGTGCCAGCTATAGGTATTTATCCCACTACTTGTGTGTCCATCTACTAGGCACACATATAGCAGTGGATGATCAGGAAGAAGATTTTTGCTTAACTGTGTAATTCTGGTGAATACTAGGATATTTTTCATTACTCGGACTGAAGTAGGAAAGTAATAGTATTCTCAGTCACAAAGACAGCTAATTTTAAACTTCAGAACAAATTCAAAGCAAACTGGTTTCCCCTGGAGATGGTTATGTAACATGAATAATAAAAACCCAGAGACAGATATTGGGGTTCAGGCAGAAGATCTGAAAAGCAAAGTAGCCAATCCACTGGAGAGTTCTTGCCTCTACAAAGGCTCAGACCAAAGAGGGTGATCCTATCCTCGAGTGACTGCAGAGGCAGGTGGATCTCTGTGAGTTCGAGGCCAGCCCGGTCTCCAGAGCGAGTGCCAGGACAGGCTGCAAAGCTACACAGAAAAACCCTGTCTCGAAAAAAAACAAAAAACAAAACAAAACAAAAAAAAGGACACCATTTGGGGCTGGAGAGATGGCTCTGATGTTAAGAGCACTGACTGCTCTTCCAGAGGTCCTGAGTTCAATTCCCAGCAACCACATGGTGACTCACAACCATCTGTAATGAGATCTGGTGCCCTCTTCTGGTGTGCAGATATACATGGAAGCAGAATGTTATATACATAATAAATAAATAAAACCTTAAAAAAAAACATCTTAAATGCCATATTCTGTAGATCTCTGACATGTTTGCAGATGACCTGTCTATCTAAAATATATCTCTGTTTGACCTTGTAAACATACCTAATATTACTACAAGTTTGGTTGTAATAGTTGACTAATTTGTAACCTGAATTTCCTTATTATCCTATATAGTTGATAATAATAACTTTCAAGGACCAGAAATTTGCTTTACATTGTTAAATGAGCTGTATAAGTAGAATACTTTGAACAAGATTAGAAACGTATGTACAGCCGGGTATTGGTGGCACACACCTTTAATCCCAGCACTCGGGAAGCAGAGGCAGGTGGATCTCTGTGAGTTTGAGACCAGCCTGGTCTACAAGAGAGAGTTCCAGGACAGCTTCCAAAGCAACCTGTCTTGAAAACCTGTCTTGAAAAGCCAAAAAAAAAAGAGAAACGTATGTACAGGGTGTTTTAATGACATTAACCTCAAATTTGTATCAATATACAAAATTTGTACACAATATACAAAAGTCCAATCCAATGTAAAATATTTAAAACTAGTATTTACTTTTTAAAGGGAAATTCACTCTTAGCCAGGCACACACGTTTAATCCCAGCACTTGGGAATCAGAGGCAGGTGGATCTCTGTGAGCTCAAAGTCAGCGTGGTCTGCAAGAGCTAGTTCCAGGACAGGCTCCAAAGCAATACAGAGAAACCCTGTCTCGAAAAACAAAAAAAAAGTAGATTCAATCTTATCATATCTATATCTTCCCTTTTTTTTGAGAGTAGATTCAATAATCTACCCTTTTTATCCTATTATATGTGTGCCCCCTTTTTTCTTTTCAGAGCAAAAACCCTGAATCTAAGCTCCATTGTTTAGCTTTTTTCCTGACAATTACCAATAACAACTTGTAACCAATCTCCCTAAACAATGACAAAAATCCATAACCCACTGAATGATCAAAAAATCACTGACCCCCACCTCTTGGAAATGTGGGTATCATATTCTTAAATTTACTTCCTGCTGTGTAGGGGTGATGGCATCTTTAGGGGCTCCTGAAAAGAAAAATTTGGATTAATTGTCAAGTCCTGGGACAGGTGGCTGTATCATTTGTTGTTCAGTCTACATGTATTGGGAAAGTGCAAGGCTTGTCTCAAGTCCTGGCTAGAGTAGCTGTAAAGCCTGATCATCTCCACTAGCCACCTTGAAATTATGCTGAGCAGTTTGTAGTCCAAAGCAGATCTTTAGTTGCTGTTGTTCAGTTTAATGGTGTTGTCATAGTCCTGGTGGAATTATCATCTGTTGGGTTCCACTTTCTGTTCAGAGACTTCAAAGATTACATTAGGTCAGATTATTCCTTGTCTAGGTAATTTTTTCTGAGTAGTTCTCCCTTTTTCTTTGGATGCTTATTCGTGTAAAGGTCTTTAAATTCCTCAAGATGGTTGTTTTTATCCTCCTGAAAAGACAAACAGAAAACCTACCCTTAACACAAACTTTGGGGAGGTTTCACATCTAATCTGTATCAATCTTGATTCACCATTTCTCCTGAATTTTTGTCTTATCTTCTAATAGTTATTCTATCATCCAGAGCAGTATGATTTCTTACAATAGGCATTAGGTTCTTCAATTGCTCTAGGAAGGAGTTTCCACAGTGACAGGAAACAACTGAACCAAATTTGGCATAGGGGCCTGTAAGAGGCCTCTCAAGGAGTTTCCCAATGGCAGAGGATTACCTTGACTGCCCCATGTTAATCTACATTCATTGGTCCAAAGCCTGACTTTGCCACACCTTCTGCATAATCCAGAATGGAGGAGGGGTTCTGTTTGGATTATTCTTAAGAAAAAAACTGTTTCTAGGAACAACCTGTCTACAATCCCTTTTAAGGTGAACTTGTTTGCCACAATTGAAACACCTGACATTTTGATTTTTCTTCAAACCTCTGGAAATCCCCTCTCCTATCCATCATCATGGTCATGAGATTCAATATTGATTGTATCTCAGATTCATTCTTCCAAAGGTGGTGACCTTGCCTTTAAAGACCTAATTATCCCTTTTGCATTGTGCATTAGCATTTTCAAAAGGTAGAGATTCAATTGTTATTTGTCTACCTTCTGAATTGGGTATCATTCTATTTACTGCTAAAGTCAGTCTTTGTAAGAAATCCATGAAGGCTTCCTTTGGGCCCTGTATGACTTTAGTAAATGACTCAATCTTCTTTCCTACTTCTCCAATTCTGTCCCAAGAACTCAAAGCTGCTGTGCAACATAAAGCCAGGGCATGGTCATCATATATGGATTGCCTTTCTATGGTAGCATAATCTGCCTCTCCAAGAAGTTGATCTTCGCTGACCGTTGGTGGCACACCCCTTTAATCCCAGCACTCAGGAGGCAGAGGCAGGTGGATCTCTGTGCGTTCGAGACCAGCCTGGTCTACAAGAGCTAGTTACAGGACACTCTCCAAAGCCACAGAGAAACCCTGCCTTGAGCCCCCACCCAAAAAGACCGTGTAAGATGGTATCTCAGAGTTGTTTTGATTTACATTTCCCTCATGGTAAGGACGTTGAGCAGTTCTTTAAGTGTCTTTCAGCCATTTGAGATTTTTCTGTTGAGAATTTTCTGTTTAGATCTGTACCCCATTTTAAATTGGATTATTTGGTATTTTGATGTCTAGCTTCTTGAGTTCTTTATATATTTTGGAGATCAGCTCTCTGTCAGATGTGGGGTTGGTGAACATCTTTTCCCAGTCTGTGGGCTGCTGTTTTGTCTTATTGCTTACAGGCAAGCTCTTTAGTTTCAGGAGGTCCCATTTATTAATTGTCGATCTCAGTGTCTGTACTATTGTTGTTATATTCAGGAAGTACTCTCCTGTGTCAATGCGTTCAAGGCTACTTACCACTTTCTCTTCTGTCAGTTTCAGTATAACTGGATTTATGCTGAGGTCTTTGATCCACTTGGACTTGAGTTTTGTGAGGGGCCATAGATATGGATGTATTTGCAATCTTCTATTTGTCAACATCTAGTTATGCCAGCACCATTTGTTGAAGATGATTTCTTTTTTTCCATTGTATAATTTTGGCTTCTTTGTCAAAACTCAGGTGTTCATAGGTGTGTGTGTTAATATCAGGGTTTTCAACTCTATTCCATTGTTCTACCTGTCTATTTTTGTGCCAATACCAAGCTGTTTTCAGAACTATAGCTCTATAGTAGAGCTTGAAGTCAGGAATGGTGATGCCTCCAGAAATTCCTCTATTGTACAGGGTTGTTTTGACTATTCTGGGTCTTTTGTTTTTCCATGAAGTGGAGAATTGTTTTATCAAGGTCTATGAATAATTGTGTTGGGATTTAGATGGGGATTGCAGTGAATCTGTAGATTGCTTTTGGTATGATCGCCAATTTTACTATGTTGATCCTACCTACCCAAGAACATGGGAGATCCTTCCATTTTCTGATATCTTCTCCAATACTTTCTTTAGGGACTTAAAGTTCTTGTCATACAGGTCTTTTCCTTGTTTGGTTAGAGTTACCCCAAGATATTTTATGTTATTTGTGGCTATTGTGAAGGGTGTTGTTTCTCTGATTTCTTTCTCAGCCCATTTATCATTTGTATATAGGAGGGCTACTGATTTTTTAATTAATCTTGTATTCCAGGGTTTTTAACTTGGGGAGGAAAAGGTTTATTTGGCTTACTCGTTCTCCATCACAGTCCATCCCTGAGGGAAGCCAAAGGTGGGAGTCGAGCAGGGCAGGAACCTGGAGGCAGGGATTGAAGCAGACCTTGGAGGAGTGCTGTTTACTGAGTTTGTTTACTTACTTACTTTGTTTGTAGTATTGGGGGTTGAAAATAGGGTGCTAGGTGTGTCAGGCAAGACCTTTACTGCTGAGCTCCAGCCCCAGAACCTGAGGGTATTTTAAATCTTATTTTTTATTTTCATTTGTGATGTATGGAGAAGGTGTTATGGAATGACACTAGACTCTGATCATGTGCTGTCTGTTACCACACTTAGGAGGAAGGCTGGCCTTGAACATCAGATCTTCCTGCCTCCACCTCCCAAGTGCTGGGGTCACAGAAATGTGTTCTCATGCCTTACAGATGCAGGGGGTAGTCTCTTCTGACTTTATGGCTTTAGATGCTGCCAGTGTGTGTAGGTACAAACCATGGATGTGAGAGGTGAGTTCTGTACCTGCGTGGCAGAAACCTCTAGTCAGAGCAGTTGTGTGTTTCATCAGATTATCTTGAAGGGAAGCTTGTAGATAGCACACTGCTTCTACCAGGCCAGATTTGTCTGTTTCTTCCTGGCAGCCTGGCAGTTTTTGCTTGAATTTTTTTTTTTTTTTGATTTTGGATATAGGGTTTTTCTGTGTAGTTTTGGAGGCTGTCTTGGAACTCACTCTGTAGACCAGGCTGGTCTCGAACTCACAGAGATCTGTCTGCCTCTGCCTCCAGAGTGCTGGGATGAAAGGCGTGCGCCACCACACCTGGCTTTGCTTGAGCTATTTTGAGTTTTTTAACATTATCCCTAAGATGTTTTTGTTTTGTCTCAGCATCCATTCTATCTGACATTAATACAGAAAGCTGAGCTAGGTTTCTTTCTTTGGTTAGGTGTTGCTTACCATGTCTTTTTTTCTCCTTTTTTTTTCCAGACAGCATCTCATGTATCCCAAGCTAGCCACAAACTCAAAAGTCAAGGATGGCCTTGTACTTCTGATTCTCCTGTCTCTACCTCTCAAGAGTGGGAATTACATTACAAACATCAACCATGTTTTCCAGATTCTTCTCTTAAATTATTTTTCTGAGGCATTTTGTCACAGTGGTGAAGTTTTGTTTTGTTATTTTGTGTAGTTGGACTTTCTTGGGACCATCAGTCCCCAAATAATGACATGGAGACTTATTACCAATCATGAAAGCTTGGCCTTTAGCTTAGGCTTGATCCCAACTAGCTTTTTTTTTTTTTTAAAGATTGATTTATTCATTGTGTATACAGTGTTCTGCCTGCATGTATCCCTGCAGGCCAGAAGAGGGCGCCAGATCTCATTACAGATGGTTGTGAGTCACCATGTGGTTGCTGGGAATTGAACTCAGGACCTCTGGAAGAGCAACCAATGCTCCTTAACCTCTGAGCCATCTCTCCAGCCCCCCAATGACCTGTTTGTATGAATCTACATTTTGCCATGCCATGTAGTTCTTTACCTCTCCTCCATTCTATATGTCCAACTTCCTGTGTCTCACTGGTGAAATTCCAACTTTCTTCCTCCCAGTGTTCTTCTCTCTGCCCAGAAGTCCCACTTATCCCCTCCTGCCCACCTATTGGCCATTCAGCTTTTTATTAAACTAGTCACAATGACGTAGCTTCATACAGTGTAAACAAATATCCCAAAACAGTTTTGTTTTGGGTTTGGGTTTTGTTTTTTGTTTTTTGTTTTGGTTTGCTGAAACAGGGTCTCACTATGTAGTCCTACCTGTCCTAGAACTCACTCTGTAGATCAGGCTGACCCTGAACTCAAGAGACCCACCTATCCCTGCCTCCCGAGTGCTGGGATTACAGGTGTGCACCACCACCGCCTGGCTTTGAAGTTTTATGTTATGTGTATTTAACTTTGAAAATGTATTGTTTTAGTACTACGGGTATAGCAATTACCTAACATTCATGAGGCACTAGGTTCAATTCCCAGCACTGAAACAATGCATTTTCAAGTGAAATTTAGACCCAAGTATATTGCATCAAGTTCTCTCTGGAATATAATAACAAACAAAAGTGACAGATGGAAGTCCAAAGCCGCTAGGTGAGCCTCATCCTGGCCACTTTCTTGATGTGGGATAATGCTCTTGTTCACTGTAATGATTTGTCACTCATATTGGTTTAATAAAATGTTGATTGGCCAGTAGACAGGCAAGCAGGAAGTAGCCAGACTAGGAGAATTCTGGGAAGAGGAAAGGCACAGAAACATTCACCAGCCAGCCACAGTGGAAACAAGATGAGAATGCCTTACTGAGAAAAGGTACCAATCCACGTGACTAAACATAGGTAAGAATTATAGATTAATTTAATTCGTAAGTTTGTTAATAATAAGCCTGGGCAATAGGCCAAACAGTTTATAATTAATATAAGACTGTGTGTGTTTATTTGCGATTGAACGGCTACGGAACCAGGTGGAACAGAAACTTCCATCAACATTTCCTATTTCCATGAACTTGAAGGTTACTTAGCTTCTCTAAACTTACTTTCTTTGATTGTAAATCCACAATCACTATAAGCTGCTACCAGATTGACTTGAGTTCCCTTATCAGTTATAGAGCAACAGAAGTGGAGGGGCCTTCCTGTAAGAACATACACCTGGATGACCCCACCCCCTAACGACAGGCGTGGCATGCACTGGAAAATGTGTTAAGTCATTGCCATGTCACCCACCACGAATTAGGCCTTCGTGAGGACTCTACGAATGTGCAAAACCCCAGTG